TCTCTCTCTCTCATTGGCCCGGGTCGCCATGCTGGCACCACTGCCACCACCACCAGTTGTTGTTGGCACGTACCATTGGACTTGAGAGCCGCAGTGGCACGTGTTTGTCTGTGCGGAGCAGAGTCCTCCTTTCCATTGTCCTCCCTCATCTCCCCCCTCTGATGGCCTTCACCCCGGCCCCGATGACCTAACGTCTGCCATGCGACCGACGCGCGTTTGCTGCGTGCCAGCCTGCCTTGCCCTAGCTTACCTCTCTCTCTCCCTCTCTCTACCTGCTAATGTCCTTTAGTTGAGGAGTGCGTAGTGAACCATCTGTTCGATTGGCACGATTTGTCTGTGACTGTCTCGGTGTGTGTCAGCCACCCTCTACTGAAAGAGAGCGAGAGAGAGACTGGCCAACTGTCGACTGCTTCTGCTGCTGCTGTTTGTCTGTTGTTGCTTTTGCCAACGAACTACCTGGGCACACTGGAATGCCTCAGTCTGTCTGTCTCTGCCTGTAATGGCTTCTTTCTTTGGCCAACTGTCGCTCTAGCACACACCTTTGACCACTGCTGACCACCACCACCACCTTCATTCCTAGGCAGTGCATTCTTGACCCCTTGGCACCACTGCGCTAACTTTCACCTTGACTGCACCTTGCACTTGGCAGTTCAAAGACACCTTTCTTTTTTGCTCAACCTTTTTTCAGCTGCTTTTTAGGCAAAATGATCGCGTTTTGCTGATGGAACCAGTGCCCAGCCGATTCATTATCAGGCTAATTTGTGCAGTGTTTTACTACCAAACCCAGTGCCGATTACTATTGAGCCATCATCATTATCAGTCACACTAATTGAGCAGTGAATAGTCGGTGTGTGCTCCCTATTCTGCTAATGGGAAGCGATGTTCACTTCTCTGCTTTCTTCCGTTTGGGGCGCAACGCTTTCATCAGCGATGATTAATGAAAGCAGAAGGGAGCGTGAGGACAGCACAAGTAGAAACAGTAAAAGAGAAAGAATACGGCGCCAGCAGTTTGATCTGATTTTCCGCAAACAAACGTACACACTGGCAGTGACGCCCAGTTGTTGGCAGCCACTTTCCCCGGACAGTTAGTCAGCCAGCCAGTTGGCTTTCGCAGTTTGCACTGTCCGCGAGACCGGTTGTACAACTCGTCCTCGCATTCGGATGGACACTTTCGATTTTGCTGTCAGCTATTTTTGACTGACTGACGAGCAAGGCAGAGGCAGCAGCAGCTAATACCGGTCATGCGGGCGTCACATTAACCTCGTTTCGGAGGCGGCAGCATCACTACCACAGTGCCCAACTGGCCAGCAGCAGCATCATTCAGTGCAGTGAAGAGTTAACTTCAGTGCAGTATCATCTGCCTCTCTCTTTCTCTTTTTTCGACCTGTCTGACCGGTGGTCTCTCCTGTGGTCTTTGCCTGGCGCCCAGCAGACGGTCAATAACCCGAGTTTGCTTGTTGCCGATCACTTTGCTGTCGTTTCTGCCGTTTGCTGTCCTCCTCCTCCTCCTTCTCCACCATCTCTTCACAGTTCTAATCGATGCCTCTCAGATTGATCACACCGGACAGTGGGCAGAAAGGCAGAGCAACAGTTGTTGTTTCACTCACTCTTTCGGTCGTCCATCTGATTATCAGCAGCAGCAGCAGCCACAGCACTCACTCTGACTACTAATCTCTCTTTGGCTGACTCTTGCGGCACTTCCTCCCTTTTCTTCCGGCCTCGTTTGGCTGGTGCTTCTGCCTTGTGGACGCTTCCTTCTTGTCGCTGTTGTTGCTTTCTTTCCCTTCTCCAGACATTTCCCTTGCTGCTAAACTGGGCCCGACGCTTACACTTCTTTTCTCGACATTGTTTCCGGACACACACAAACTCGCTGTCTCCGGAGGCACAACACGTGTCAATTTTCCGACAGTCTAGCCTCTAGGATCCGGACAGGAAGAGATGGTGCTGATGTTGCTGCTGTTGCACGGCGTCACTTAGTACCTAGCTGCAAGGGCCGCTGGAGATACGGGCCAATTGTTGCCACCGGATTTTGTCCTCTTCGTTGTCGTCGTCGGTTTTCCGCCGTCCAACTTTTGCGGCTCCTAGTGTTGTCAGAGCTCTGCTCCTCTAGCTGCTCTCTTCGACCTTTGACCCGACAACCTAAGAGCTGGGGGTTGGTCTTCAGTGATAGCTTCACAACGCTTAGCTTCTCTGTCCCCCTCCTCTCTCTCTCCCCCTGGTCCCCTCAACCTCTTAGCCATCTGTCTGAGCAAGCGCGAGAGAGAGAGAGAGAGAACAGCTGTCAGAAGCAACAGTCGCCGCCGATGCCGAAGCCACTGCAACGGACAGCACTAGCATAAGGCAGGTGCGTTTGGCAGTGCTGAACAGACGCTGCGCTGTTTTCTCGCTTTCTCCCTTGTTGAAGCAGCCCTCAGCAACAGTTTGAGCTCGCTCAGCCGCTCATTCGGCCGCTCACCTTTGAATCGAATGCACACGCTGTTGCTGCTGTTCAGCGCGCACACTGTTTTGTCACAGACCGTTTCATCTGGGCCCTTATCTCTCTATGTCTCTGCCGTCGTCGTCGTCGTGTGTTTTGGTGTGTGCACTCTCGATTCTTGATTCTTCGACTTTGCACCCTAAAGGAGTGCTTTGCGCCGCCGCTGCCGCTTTTTAGGCTAGAACACACACACGCACACTCTGCTGGCTTTCTCGCTAGTTTTCCGTGTTGACAAGATGCCACCAAGCCGTTCTTATTCTGGGAAAGGTTCCTCTTCCTCGTCTTCATCTTCGTCCTCTTCTTCTTCCTCCTCCTCTTCTGCTTCTTCAGCATTCTCCACCCGTTCAGTGCTTCACAGCGGTAGCTTTAAGCAGTCTTCTCGTCGAAGAGACAGAACTGTCGTATCTGCTGCCCACCATCACCACCATCACTCTTCGCCGATTCCCTTTCCAGCTATTCACAGTTTGTGTTTTTGTTTTTTCAGCCCTCGCTTTCCACACACCATTGACCAGCACTACCGCCTGAAGTTCGACAATCTCGCAGAGGTGAACCTGTCGCCCTTTATTGGCGCCCACTTTATCACCACATCGAGCATCTTCCAGCACCAACAACAACAACAACACCAGCAGCAGCAACACCATCTGCAGCAGCAGCACCACCACCACCAGCCAAACCACGCTACCATGGGCCAAAAGGTGAGCAGCCCTTTCAACAAGCCACACTCCGGTGCTGGCGGCGTGCTTCGCGATTCATCCTCAACCACTTGTACCTCAACGATTACACCCGTCCACCAGACTGGCGAAAATGGAAGCTCACATGCCGAACACAGCCTACACGGCCACCTTCGCAGTCCATTCATCGAACCACCACGGCCAGCTCGTCTAGACCTTCTACTGGACATTCCACTAGCCACCGAGGAGACGCAAAAGGAGCACGGCTGGAATGAGGCCGATCGATCGCTCAACATCTTCGTCCTGGAGGACGACCCCCGAGTCGTTCACCGGCACCCGGTGGCGCAAAGTACCGACTGTGTGCGAGGCCGCGTCGGCTACAGCTCTGGCCTGCACGTCTGGGAGATCAAATGGCCCATTCGGCAGCGTGGAACGCATGCTGTCGTCGGCGTGGCCACCACCGAAGCCGCCCTCCACTCTAACGGCTACCTGCCGCTGGTGGGCTCTACCGCCGAGTCCTGGGGCTGGGACCTGGGGCGGAATGTGCTCTACCACGACTTGAAGCTAAACGAGAGCAGCATGAACCTGAACCCCGCCGCGTACTACACCATGGGCCGCACCTATGAGCACCAGTTTGCTCCCAACTTTATCGCCCCGGAGACCTTTCTCGTCGTGCTCGACATGGACGAGGGTACGCTGTCGTACATGGCCAAGGGCCAGTTCCTGGGCGTCGCCTTCCGCGGACTGAAGGGCAAAACTCTCTACCCCATCATCAGCTCTGTCTGGGGCCACTGTGAAATCACCATGCGCTACATCAACGGTCTAAAACGTAAGTCTCTCTCTCGTTTTCTTTCTCGCAAACGTTAATTTAGCCACGTGCAATATTTGTGCATGACTTGCATGGCACATTTATTATTTTATCGTAATTATCCAACGCGAGCCATGTTTACGCCGATTAAAGTGCTCCCTCTTCTCTGGCAGTCAGTCGGGCAAAACACTTTCGATTATCATCACTTTTAGAGCCGCCTTGTAGCAGCAGCAGCGAAGCATCTCTTCTACCTGTTTGGCTGTTGCCGCTTCAACTTGTTGTTGTTGTTGCTGCTGTTTGCCTCTTCTGCCCGTCGTCATAGAGGAAGAATCAGGAAAGAGTAGTTTGCCGTGTCGGTAAACTGGATGCTGCAGAGTCAGGATAGGCTAGCCTAGACACAAACACACACACACACACAAAGCTATCTGCGGAAATAGGTCAGCTGTTAGGCAGTGCTAGTCGACGAGCCAGCGAGTGAGTGAGTGACCACTTATCTTGACCGACTGCTTCAGCAGCAGCAGCAGCAGCAGCAAAACAGCATTGATGGTGCACAGTGTCTGTCTGTCTGTGCCCAATCATTTCCCAGGCAGTGTCTGCCTGTTGATAATCTCCTCACTCTCTCCTCTCCTCTACTCTTCTCCTGTTGCTATTTATTTCTCGCAATTCAATTACTTTCACCTTAATGTGGCTATTCATCCTTCTACTGCTGCGTGAAAGCGCCAGCGAGGACCACCACTCTCACTGCAATCTCTTTCACTGTCTATCTCTCTCATTGCCTCAATTGTTGTTGTTCGCCATAAAAATAGCACGACGGCGGTGGTGGTGGCCAGCACCATCATGAAGCCGTCATCGAGCAGACCACCACCAACACTTGAAAGACTAGTCAGACTTTATTTTCTCTATCTCTGTCTGTCAGTCCCTTTGGCAGACGGCAGCCAGTGCTGTAGTTTTGGCCATCAGTGCTCTTCAGCAGTGTGTTTTTCCTGGCCAGCTCCTCCAAAAAACAAGTTCATTTCCGCCATTGGTGCTAGCTCGCTGGCTATGGCTATGGCTAGCATTTCCGTTATCACACTCACTCACGAGCTGTAATGGCAGCGATGGCACACACTGACCAGCTTCTAATTGTCTCACTTTCCCGTTCTCTTTGTTTTTGCTCTTGCTGCTGCTGATGCTGCTGCTGATGCTGCCCGTCCCTAATGGGCACTGGCTCGTCTGTCTGTTCTCACGAGTCTCCTTATCCATCCGACGGAAAACTCTCGCCTCTAACTTCCTTTTTGGGATTGTTATGCAAAGTGCAAAGTGCCACTGGTGGTGGTGTTACCTTGCCTTATAAAAAAATATTGAGCCAGATCTAAGACCTAAGTAGTTTGGCGGCGACGACTACGGCCACTACTACTACTTGCCAGATCTAGATCTCCGGCACTAGCACTAAAGGCACATTCTTCCAGCTATTGTCGCCACTTTGAATGGAGGGGTTTGCCTTCTTCCACACCGCCGTTTGTAAGGGTGACAGTGTCTTGAAGGAAAGAGGGAAGAGGAGCGGAGCGGGAGGAGAGCCCAGCTAAGCTATGGTCTCGCGTCCTGTCTTTGCCATCTGTCACTGAATCCAAAGCGCGCGCACTCACTTTCGCCTCAATGGTCGTAATTTATGTGAATGGTCGTCGTCGTCGTCGTCGTCCGCTCTGACAACGTCTTCGTTTTCCATCGTCTCCCCTTGCACCACCACTCGAACCGAGTCGAAGAGTCAGTCACATCTCCGCTGACCTCTTTGACCTCTCTTTCTTTCTCCTTGCTTTTCTGCGAACCCAACGAGAGCAGCTAATGGCTAGGCTCATCTCAATTTCATCAATGAACAACAGACTGGCTGCTGTTCTTGCCAGTTTGTCGGGCACGACTTCCTCTCTTTTATGCTCTCTCTCTCTCTCTCTCCCCCATTTGCGCTCGCTTCCTTTCCGCTGACCTTTGACCGACATATATCCGTTGCTTTATTTTTATACTTCTGCCAAATGGGCTCTGTGAGGATGTGCGTTGTGAGGATGTACACTCCTGTTGAATCGCTCTTGAGTAGTAGTGAAAGAGAGGGTCACCTTTGCCACCTTTCTCTTCTTCTCCGGTAGCTGCTGTTGCTGCTAATTGTGCAATTGACGGTTTCTAAATCGACCTTTTATGTAAGTCTTTTCCGAGTAACGAGTTGTCAAAACGTCTGAAGGGGCAGGCGCCGCTTGTGCGCTCATGTAGAGCGAATTTCCGCCAAATAATGGCTGTGGTTTTGCTGCCCCTTTGAAGCGCTAAAGTTTTTTAAATCTAATTTTAAGCTTTGTGTTTCTTGTTTTTGTACTCTTGGGAATCGGGATTGGAGATTTCGCTTGTCTGTTTTCAGACAGGCGCCAAAAAGTTAATGCAAAAGAAGACGGCAGTCGGTCAGCCACTAATTAACACAACTTGCGCCTGTTTGACTGACGTTGGTGGTGGTTGTAATCACGCGGTCCAGTGTTTGCAGCCTGTCAGCACAAGGAAACCCTACCAAATTAATTTATCCACCACTGAAGTGCAGACGTGTCTGTTTGCGGACACTGTTGTTGTTGTTGTTGTGTGCATCTTGATTGGAATTGATTAATTGCCACTAATTTAATTAGAGTAGCAGTGACGGTGACGGCCGTTTGCCTTGTCTCTGTGACTAGCAACACAAGACAAGCACGCTGGCGTTCTCTTTGGTCCAATTCCTCTTCTCCTCAATTGCTGCCTTGCAATTTTCTACCGCCACTACCGCCGCTCAGTTATCTAGTTTGCAATGATTGATTTAGCCCATGAGAAAAGGAAGAGAATTGCGTGAAATGTGCGCTTCCTAAAGAGTTTAGCTTTCTATTACCAAGTCTGTGTCTCTGTGAGTGCGGCTACGTTTCAATCTGTTTTGATTTATTACCAGAGCACTCTGCTGTCGTCTTGTGGCCACCACCGCCGTTCTTCCTTCTTCCTTGTTCTTTGCCCCAATCCTTTTCCGCTTTCTCCGTTTTTTCAATTCCCGAATGACCACTTTCTAATTTGTCTTCTCCTTTTTCTTCCTTCTCTTCTCTTCCCAACAGCCGAGCCATCTCCACTGAAAGACATTGCCCGTTGTGCCATTCGCAAGCAAATGGGCAGGGAACGACTGCCACTCATTAAGTCTGATCTGATGATACCTGAAGTGCTCAAGAAGTACCTGCTCTACCAGGACCACCCACTGAATGAGATGTGGAAACCACTTTGATAGCTGATGATCGAACGGAACCAAGTCTATCTCCCCTGCCTTTCGATACTCCTTTTTACTCACACAAACTGCAAATCTGAATCTGGTCATAAACACACACACTCACTTACACCGCCAACACATTTGTCACACATTTAAATTCTTTTAACTTAAACTTTTTAAACCTTTTTAAATTTACATATCACTGGTCTTCTGTTTTGCGGCCAACACTACTGTCATCACACACAGAAACTCCTCACCCCTGTCCACTTATTTGGCTTCTCTTGCTTTCCCTGTCTTTTTCTGCTATTTTGTACATTAAGTTACGACAAAATGTAATAAACACCTGAGACAAACGTAAGGGAATGAAACTCCTCAAATCAGCAGTGAGGGAGTTACACTAACAGACACACACACGAGCACATTACACACCGACACTTTGAAGTGATTCTGATTCTGATTGCAGCTTTGTACCAAACTGGTCACCTCTGGCCAACTGATTCGCTTCCAACTGTGATTTCACTTCGCTTGTAAAAAGATAACTCTCACGTCTCGATCATGTATTACCTGCTCTGCTGTATATATACCAGTCCATCCATCGATGCTTCTCAACGTCATCCTCACCATCACCACCACAAACACCATCTTTATTATCACTGCTCCAGCACCGCCGTCTCCACCACCAACCCAATCCATTTTAGATCGTCTCACCTTTTTCACTCTTTTTATTCTTTGGCCATCAACATTGTTGTTGTTGTTGCTGTTGTTACATTACCATCACATTCTCTCTCTTTTACAATTAAAAGCTAACTTTTTTTCAATTGACCTTTCTTCAATGGGACACTCTTTTCTGTTTGCACAAAAATGTTTCCTCCTACTGGATACTACCACCACCTGAGCCGGTAGAGACAGGCCACCAGAAAAAGAAGTGTGTACCCGGCCAGTACGAGAAATCCGCCGTACACCTGCGGACTGGTGAAGGGCAGTTGGCGAGAGATGAGCGATCGCATGGCCGTCGTCGGTCGGGTGAGCGGCAGTGCGCCCATGAGCGCCTGCAGCAGCGGCGAGTTGAGACTCTCCAGCGGCCAGAGCGTGCCACTGGCGAAGAAGAGCGGAAAGACGAGCATGGCCATCTTCGTGAGGTAGGTCATGTGGCAGCTGGANGAGACAGGCCACCAGAAAAAGAAGTGTGTACCCGGCCAGTACGAGAAATCCGCCGTACACCTGCGGACTGGTGAAGGGCAGTTGGCGAGAGATGAGCGATCGCATGGCCGTCGTCGGTCGGGTGAGCGGCAGTGCGCCCATGAGCGCCTGCAGCAGCGGCGAGTTGAGACTCTCCAGCGGCCAGAGCGTGCCACTGGCGAAGAAGAGCGGAAAGACGAGCATGGCCATCTTCGTGAGGTAGGTCATGTGGCAGCTGGAGGTGAGGGCCACCAGCTGGCCGAGGATGATCGTACTGACTGACTGCAGGTAGAGCAACAGGTAGGCGGTGAGGATGGAGACGGTGCCGTTGCCGGACAGGCGGACGTCAAACAGCCACACGGCCACGGCAATGAAGAGGCAGTTGGAGGCGGCCATTATCGTCGCCTGCACCGAAAGGTGACACACGAAGAAGGTCGTCTGGGAGACGCCGTGCACAGCACTGCGTTCAAAAACTCCACTCGCCCTGTCCTTTAGCCACACCAGGCCGCTCATCAGCAGGGTGAGCATGAAGTTGATGCCAGTGATCTAACAAAAAATTATATTTTAAATGACACATCAATCCTCATCTTATTTTTTT